AATTCTTTCCTTCTCTATCGGACCGTTAAACACACACTGCATTCTGTTCTCCTGAAGATCCTATCGCGTGTTTCATATATATATATATATATATATATATATATATATATATATATATATATCCAAGTTCTGTTTCTCACATACCAGATTTTTAACTCTTCTGGGTCACGCCCCTTGATGTCTTTGAATACTTAGACAGAAATATTAATTCGCTTATTCACTTGTTTGTAGGCATGTGTATATGAGTGTGTCAAAGACTGTGTACATAAGCGTGTCCATTGGCCTCATTCTATGTGTACAGAATTCTTGAAAATCGTGGTTACATTCTCATCTCTCACACTCCTCAAACTAAATAATATTCAAAAATGACAAAACCTATTTGCTCAAATATTGCGTGTATGTCAATCCAAAAGGAAAACATGTTGCGTGCGAATTCGTATTTCATCTGAAATGAACGTGTTTCATGCTCTTATTCAAAGAGGAGAAAGATAGAGAGGAAACAGAACTGAGGTATAGTTCAATAACATAACTAAACCTTCATTCATAAAAATGCATCGATAATAGATTTCAGTTGAAGAAAAACTAAGTAAGGTAAGGTGGGTGTGAATTTCGAAAGATGGGTAGATAATTTCGCTTTCCTCTCCCTCTCTCTCTCTTTCTTTCTAACCCCTCTGTTTTTCTCGTTTCATTTTGTCATGAAGATAAAGAATGATACTGGGTCATATTTGAGAATCAATGCGTGTTAGAGAAGATGATAAGAACCGACTTGCATGTTATAAGTCCCATTCACTGTTCCGACTCTTCTGTTCATTTACGAGCACGAAGTCACCCATCCTCTTCTTTCGTGTTTGATAATATCACCATGATCATTTGAGAAAAGGAAATTACTGTCATTTCAATGAATAGCTAAGACACTAATTTTCTTCAGTTCATTCAGTATATATAAAATATCTTTGGAACTTTGTTGTTTTCAACTTATTTCATCATAAATAAAGGATCACGCGAGATTTCCTTTAGGAAAAAGGTTAATCTTTGAACATAGTGTTTATGGTATTTTTAAATCAGTAAACGAATGAATTCTAGTCAACTTTTTACTTGCCTGAGTGGCTTACTGGATAAAACTTCGGTATTTAGTACGATAGATACTGGATTCAAGTTTCAATGAGAATAACATCATTAAAATTTACTTTAATAAAGTGAATTCCAGGTTCATAGACTGTATTTGTAGTTGGAAAACTGTTGAAAACTTGATAATATTAGGCGGATGTTTCCTTTTACTATGAGATTCATCAGCGTATATCCACGACCTCATAACTATTAGATGTTTCAGCATATTCATCTTCATTCAGTTACTGAACTAGGTAGGATTCAAGTGTTCAATGATTTTTTTTAGTCTGTGATGAATGCTTCCTTAAAAACAGGATTAATTTGTTTTTCATTTACTAAGAACCATGGATGCCGTCTACCCAATATTCGTGTTTTTTTAACTTTAACATTTGAAAATTATTTCACTTTTAGATAGGTAAGAGGAGTTGATTGACACTAATCAATAAAGCATATTGAAATTGTTGTCCAAGGATTCCAAAGACTTCAAATTTCGAAGTAGTATTCAACTGAACAGCTGTTTCGTCCTAGTATGGGACTCCTCAGCAGTACGCACCCACCCACTACCCAGCCAGGGGTCGAATTCAGGACCTTCAGGTTTCACGGCGAACGCGTTAACCATTCAGCCACTGGGTAGGTTTCCAGGGTCGTGGGTGCGTACTGCTGAGGAGTCCCATACTAGGAAGAAACAGCTGTCCAGTGCTCCCAGATTTTCAATGGTTCCCCAATTGATGTCAGTCCATGATGAATACTACTTCTAAACTAAAAATCCCCATTCATCTCAAAAATACTTCAAATTTCCTTCACAATGACTTGTATCTCCAAACAAGACAGACAAACAAACACTAAACAATAAGATAGAAACTAGAAAATCTAAGAAATGAAGTACCAAACCCTCTTACAACCCTATATGAGAAAGTTGACTTATGTTCAAAAGACTTGACATTTTACTAGTAGGTTTTTCTTTAAATTTTCAGTGAATTTTGAACATAATAAATTAGAAGCTGGTTCAATTATCAATCCTCAAAAATTAAGTAAGGAAAATTCTTATTTGCAACGATTTCATTTCTAGTAGATGTACAATCGTATTCTATATGGCTAAGAGTAGAAAATCACAAATGTATTTCTCTCTGTGCTCCATTTTAACAATGAATGGAATCATCTAGTACATTAATATAAGTAAGGATAATATTTTATGAATAATCAAATGAGCTGGAAACATATTGGCTATTAAATGTCAAAGACTTGAGAAAAGAGGCGAATAGGTGAGCGAATATGGTGTGATTTCATTTAACGGTGATTGAGTGAAGATTAGATGAGATAACAAATATAAATGTTAATTAGATGGAGGCAATCGACAGGAAACCCTAGACCTGAGTTTCGTGCTTGTTGGCTCTCGTCAGCAAGGCATATCTGCAACCTCTATGGAACTGATGTCTTGCCTGGGGATCGAATCCATCTCAACCATTGTTACAGTCAGAGACGTTATCACTGAGCTACTCGGGCTCGAGTAAATTGTATGAAATATATGGTCAAAATACCAAGCTAGGTCCAGAGTAATAAAAGGAACCGTACAAACTGTTTCTGTATACATAGTTCTGGTTTAAGACTATGTATCACCAAGGCTTATACAATACAAAGTAGGTTTCTGCGTGCATTTTTCGATAATTTGATATGATCTTGTAAATAATATCAAGTGATTCGGCATCTGCATGGTTGTAGTCAATCAAATGTTGGAGGATTGATGAATTGATGCTTCTACTTTGTTCTTTGCTCAACCCTACTGGGAGGTGCTCTCGAACACAATAGGTAACGTTTCTTGATGAAAGTCCTGTTTAAATAGCTCCACAAGAGCAGATAGACATGTAGATGCACGTGTAGTTGGATAATAGAGGTATTATTTGTTTAGGATTAGGATAGACTAAAGGGAAACTGGAATAGGTAACTCTCAGAGATGTGGTATGGAATGTCTTTCCCTTTTCCATTTGATCACATGATTCACACAAATAGCAGTCCCTTATTTACTTAATTTTATTCTGTTACAATTTTATTTTTTCACTGGCTTTTTCACCTCTGTTGATCCCTATCACTACACCAACATCTTGTTTGAATGATACTCACATTCACTGTTATTGCTTGCATTACACCGTCGTTGATTGGACTGAGTTGATCGGTCTCTATTGGCATATGGTCCTCCATCTTGCTTGCGTTCTAATTATATTAACGATGGATAGTGGCTAGCAGTGGAATCCAGAATGCGCATTTCGTCATATTTGGGACTCGTCAGCTGGATGTAATTACCTCCCAGTGAGTGACGTTGTCCCCATCGGGATTCGGGCTCGGGAGCGATCGCTTCCAACAGCAGAGCGTTATCCACTACACCACCGAGCCACGATAGACACTTCTTGTGCGGTGGGTATGGTTTTTAGCATAAGGGTTTTTATATGATATCGTAGTTGGTTGGACCGAAATGATTGGTCTCTGTTGGCATATGGACTCCTGTGTGGATGCTTCGATACTGTCTGTGAAAACAACATCACTCACTAGGAGACAGGTGCATTCAGCTGAAAAGTACCAAACAGGACGAAACACGTGTCCCGGATTCCACCGCTAGCCACGATCCATCATTAAGATACTGACATTTGTTGTTTCAACTAATCTCCACTCAACTGTACTTTTAAATGAAATCACACCGTATTCCCTCACTCATTTGCCTCTAATCTTTAGTCTCCGACCTTTAGTAGCCAATATTTTGCAGTTGATTTGAGGATTCATGAAATATTATCCTCACTTATAGTGATGCACTTGATGATTCCACTTATTGTAAGAGTTGACTGTCTATAAACTACCTTCCACTTATTCCTATATTGTACTAACTGTCCGCGATAAATTTTTGATGGGTAATGGCTGGCAGTTGAATCCAGGATGTGTATTTCGTCCTATTTGGGACTCGTTAGCCAAACGTAACTGCCTCCCAGTGAGCGAAATTCTCCTAACTAGGATTCAAACCCGGTACCCAACGCTTGAAAAACCACAGTGTTATCCACTAGACCATCAAGTCATGATAGCCATTTTTGTGCATAGCGTAAGCCATCGGTGCACCTAATATTAATTGCATGTGTCGATATTGACTGTGGAACACTGTGTTTTAATGAACTCTGGTGGTTACTGATATTTGTTTATCTCTTTTTCATGATGTACAAGTATTCCCAGATATAAACGAAATTTCAACGAAACATTAAATAGTACCAGTTATCTCTTATTTCTATCTTTTAGAGTTTAACCAGTTGTGTGTGTAAATCTTTCCATCTGTAATGTTTTTTATTTGCATTCATGTACTTTTATTAAAGTGTACGAGCCAGACTGATACCGGACACATTTGGGTTATAGTGCCAGCTGTAAAGTACGAACTGAACTAATACACTTGCAAGTCGGTCATAATTTGGAAGCCACTGATTTTAATCTTGTAAATATCCAAGTTTCTCTTCAACACCAATCATAATCGTCATAGATTGAAGTCAACTTGCTAACTTAATCTATCTCACACGGTTTCTGTTCAATCGTCATATGGTTTGTTGTCAAACTGATTTTCTTATTCAGTTTGGGTACTTTGTGTTTAGAATGGAAATAACTGTCAAATCATTGGATAATTTATGAGCCAATCAGAATCAAGCAAATGACCTTGAGCGTAAGTAGGTCAAGTTTTGATATCCTTGATGAATTTATATAATAACACTTGTTTCTAGTATTGGCAAGACTTCATTTTGTCTACAGTCACGTTATGATCAAACTTGTTGAGATAATTTAGTGATTTATATTTTTAAAAGCTTTCAGTCAACTGAGATTTACATTCATGATGAGTAGTTAATAAATATTAACTGATATTAAGTATTCAAATGAATCCAAGACATATTGATGATTTAAATAATATGCATAATTTTATTCCTACACGTATCCAATGTTATCTGTGTGATTTACCACGTTATCCATGGGCAATGCTATCAGAATTTAGTGAACCAGTATGTCGTGGATGTGTAAACTATGAAGGAGCTGATAGAATAGAATGCGTTCTCAGTCGGGCTAGACTAATGAAAATGCATTATTTACCACGTTTTTATTCACAAAAGACTGGGAATGAAAAATCAGAGGAATTTCCTATGAATACTCCATTATTAACATCGTCAACAAGTGATGAACGTGGTATTCCATTGAATGATTTAAATATTGAAGCTAGAAAGTCACCTTTGGATGTAAACAAATCATTTTCGTTTAAAACAGGTAAAAATTTTGATTTACATCTTTTATCCAATCAATTCACTGATGATTTCTATAAAAGTATAAGTATGATAACAGGGAATAATACACAGCATACTACAGAGACAATACCTTCATCTTCAGGGTCAATGACTACAACAGAGACAAGTAATACACGCTTTCTACAACGTGAGGATAATTTGCCAATTCGATCAAATGGGAATCAAAATATACTTTCAAACTGTGATAATCGTTTGAAAGATGTTTGTATGAACTTCTTAAAATATATTTCACTCCCATCTTTGATATCATATTCATCTGCATACACTAACTCAAATCCTAAATCAATATTCTCTTCTGAAGATCAATTAGAACAATCAAATTCAGCAGTGAATAGTTCATCAAATCAATTAAAATGTAATAATCCAAGTAAAGGAGTTATTGTATCACCTCAAAATGATAACACATTGATTAATATGATGAATTCTTCAATATCGAATATCAATACATTTCATTCTAATGATATAACTTCTTTAAATACTCTTAAAATAATCAATAATTTTGTCTCTGATGATACAATGGACTCATCGAATTCAGAACAAAGGAATAAATTAACCTCAGAGTCAACATTACAATCTCTTTGGAATTCTCATCTACTATCAACCTATATACAAATGATTGGAAGTCTTCTAGGATCAAATTCATTGTTTACTGATGATATTAATCATCATCATCAACATCTGTCATCGAATAACACGAATCATCAAAGTAAACTGAATATTCAACTGAATTCAACTGAACACTTTATGAATCCAGTCATACATCCACCATTATACAATGAAAATTCTCATATTGAAAAATTGTCTAAATTGAATTATAATCCAACAAATTGTCATCTATTGTTAGCTCATCATTTAAAGTTACCTATTGTTATAAGATTACGTAATCAACCAAATATACAAGCTCATTTTTTAGGCTTAAATCATACTTCTCTATTGAATGATAATCTTAATTTACAAGAAAATAATTTATTAAATATGATGTTTTTTGAATATCCTATTGGTTCATCGAATATCTGTACAGGTTTTAGTCAATTGATAAGAATGATTGATATAAAAGTTATTCATCAAGAGAAAAATATTACCAATAATATGAATAATAATAGTAGTGATGATATCATCGATAATGATATGAGTTTAGAAGTTGATCATTTTGATTATGAAATTGGAAAAGATGATAAGGATCAAGTTATATGGGCACCATTTATTGATTTAATCTTATTAATACTTCAATTAATTTATCAACCATTCATTCAAAAGTCGACAATAAATACATCATTTTCACAATCTAAAGATTTAATTAAACAGATAAGTATGCTAAATAATACAACAGCTAATTCATTTATTTTATCAAGGAAACGAAATTTCTATGGTTATAGCCCAGAGGATTCTGTAAATCATTTGTGCAATACTGAACAAAAACAACCTCGATTTGATAATGTACAAAGTGAACTGAATCGAATTAAAGGTCATTTAGCTAATAATAATAATAATAATAATAATAATCCTTTAGAAAAGGTGAATGAACAATTGAAGAAATGGAAACCGTTATTACAACCTAGAAAATCACCAAGTAAACGAATTCTGTGTAGTCTATGTCCACGTCATTTAGAAGGAAGTCATTTTGTTCAGTGTCCAGCTAATCCAGAACATAAATTTTGTTTTCAATGTGCTAAAACTTATTTAGAAAATATAATGAATGGAAATCAATCAAATAATTTGAATAATGGAAATGATTATTTAAATAAGAATTTAGAGATTTATTGCCCTAGTGGTAAAAGATGTGTTTTACCAGGTTCTAAATCTCCATGGGCATTTGTAACTTCTGAGATAGCTGCAATTCTAGGCAAAACTCAAATGAATGATCGTATATCTCGATGTGATCAATCATTTTTGATTGAAAATACTACTGTACAGGATACAATACCAAATATTACCACTACTACTACTACTACTAACAACAACAACAACAATATGAGTAGTGTTAGAAGTAATAGTACATCGACTCAAAGTGCATCAATCAATTGTCGACTAGAAAATTTTTCAAATAGCAGCTCCTCACAATCTTCATCCAACAGTCAACACGACAGTAATGATCTTTTATCTCCTCATAGTATAAACTCTAAAACTCCACCTGAATCACCAATTAAACTGTCATCTAGTGAAATACCTTCATCCTTTGGTAGTAAACCAGTTAGTATAGGCAATCATCAACTCAGTAGCAATAGTAATCATACAGAAATAATAAAAACACTAAGAGATAGTCATACTATATATGGAAAACTACGTAGTCAGAAGCATTTAACTTCTTCCTCCCCTTCTATATCGTCTGTTAACACCACTTCATCCACATTGTCTCTTTCATCTTTGATGACAAAATCGAATGAAATAAAGAATAAATCTTCACAGAATACATCAAAAAATTTAATAAAATTAACAGGAAATGATCCTATTAAAAATAGTATTGAAGTATTATCACCTATTGAAAGAAATCAGATTTCAGATGATGAATAATTCATCTGATCATCTTTTTCATTGACTTGATTGTAAGCATCAACTTACCTCTTCTTTTTATCAATCAGTAATTTCTAAATTTGTTCATTTCTTGTACAAAATTCTGTTATTATTATTATGGATGATGATGATGATTATGATGATGATATTTCCTCATTTTTAACTTTATTCCAGAACATTACATGAACAGTACAGAAGTATATTTTGAATCTGTTCATAATCATAATGATATTTAGTACTTATTAAGTAATTTATCTCAAAATAATAAAAAAAATCTACTCATATAACACTCTTTTCTACTTATTGACAATGAACATTTAATTCACTATAGGCAGTTTAAAAAAATTGTATTGAAGGTGTATTTTGAGGTCAATTTCGAGTAATTATTAATAAATTAAAATGGCTGACTATAGTTACATGTAGTTAACTGATTGAAGGCAAACGGTAGGAAGCCTTGATTAAACTAGGTTTCGTGTCTGTTGACACTTACCACCAGTAAATTATTAAAAAAGAATCATGAAGATTTGGAGTAAGATGAATAGTATATTTATCTTGCCTACTACCATCGATTTCAAGCAACGTTATAAAAGATTTGTCCTTGTAAATTCCTCATATTGACACTACTTTACCTCCCCCCCCCCTAAACACTCAGCTATAACATGTTCTAGTTATTTTTGACATGATGATGGATATTTGCAAAATTTTCATTCGGTTTAATCATAGAAAGGGGGTAGCTAACAGTAATTTGTTTGGTTACCACTCATATTCAGAGTTGATCTGATACTAAGAATTAGAGATGTCATTCACAATGCACAAAGTATAACACATTACATGAATTCCCTTTTACATAGCTAAAGTCAATTAAAATGGGTGATGACTGAAGGTAAGATGAAAATCTGGACCATGGCCGGATTCAACCACCAGGTTACTGGCCGGGTGCTCTACCAACTGAGCTACGAGGTCCGACTGCTGACCTTCAATCATCACTCAGTATAAATACTAGTCTGCCAAACTACGCCTACCTCAAATAGTCAAATGATAACCAACGTGATGCTCCCCCTCTCTGATTACGTTAAATTTAGATTGGGATGAGAAGTCTTGACTAGACAACCAGTGTGAATACGATCAAGCGGTAGTAACGCACCATGAATTCACATGGTAGTCGGGCAAAAACCTTGATCATTGAAGTGAAATACAAATCTGGTCAGCAGTCGGACATCGTAGCTCAATTGGTAGAGCACCGGGCCGGTAACCCGGTGGTGGCTGGTTCAAATCTGGCCACGGTCCAAATTTTCATCTCACCTTCAACCATCACTCGGTAAAAATACTAGTCTGCCAAACTACGGCTATCTCAGATAGTCAAATGATAAAACCAATTAGTAACACATTAGATTCGGCTCTGAATGTCTATGATCAGAATTTAAGTGTTTTTTCCTTTCAATTCAGTGTTGGCCGTAAAGTGTCGGGACCAGTGAATGGAATCTTGCATCAACTAATTTGTTCTTCATCTAAGCTAACGGTATTCAGTACCATGATTTATAGAAGTATCTGAAATGCCCTTATTCCATCTGAAATGTATAGTGTGGCATCTAAGCCTAGGACTAATCTGCCATTACAAACAATCAGATGTCGTTGAATACACTCTGAACTAATTACCGGTTGAATCGGATATATAACCCAGATTGAATTGGATTCCTGGATAACAGTTAGGATATAATTTACTGTCCATATTCATATCAGGTACATTCACAGAGTTTATACAAGTCCTAATTATCTCTCCTTCTTGTGATGACATGGGTAGTAGAATTTTCCACATATCTGGAACAGGTGCAGAATCATTTCCATTACTGCATGTATTCGGCGTTGTTCCGATCAGCAAAGATTCGGTTATCAATCTCTGTCTCCTCCACCCAACTAATTTAGTTTCTGACTCTACCGCTCTATCCCACCATACTATATGATCATGTGTAATGCCTTGAAGAGCTATAGCTCAGCGTTTTTCTAAATTTTTTATCTTGTAAGGATCTACTAATCTTGATTTAGCTAAGTTGTTGTGCTCTGTTATTGTAACCAACACTGGTCGACTACTTTTACCTGTGCATTTGCAAAGGATTTCCTGAACCAGATTATTTTGCTTAATCGCATCGATAGGATCTTTTAAGCTGCAAAGCTTATTTCTAAGAGAGTTTGTTGGTTTAAATACCACTGTAATCTCAACCAAACTTATTCAGAATTCTTTCTAATACTTCTGGAGTGCCTTCCTTGTTTGATAACACAGAACAGGTTTTGAATTCTCTCTCAACGCTGGCATCATTATTACCAATACTAGTAGAATAAGTACTATTAACACCTGTCTCAATACTACCATTACTACTACTACTACTACTACTACTACTACTACTACTACTACTACTACTACTACTACTACTACTACTACCGTCAATATTTTACTTTCGATTTCTTGTGAATTTATTTACAAATTTTGGTGGGTAATTATTGAGACACAGGGTATTCTTGATGTGGCTAATTTCTTGTCGTAGATTCTCCGGTCTACTAGTAAGCGTTTTCGCCCTATCACATGGACATTTAACTAAGCCTACTTGAACTCAGATGGAGTGGAAAGATTTGAAGTCTAAGTAACGATCCTAATGGGAAAGTTTCCTATAGACTTCCATCTTGTGTTTGTTTAATCTTGCAATCCAACATCGTTAGCTCACCTTCATCACTTTCGAAGTTACAGGTAAATTGCATTGAATACACTATTAGATTTATGTGCCAAGAACTCATTGATGTATTCCGATTTCAGTATTGTAAACGTATCATCTACATATCTTTGGAGTAGAACTAAGTGTTTGAAGGGGCCATCCATTCCCAACTATCCATAAATATCTCTGTGACGATAGGGGTTAACGGTGATCCCATGGCAGCACCTTCAGTTTATTTGCATATTCTGTTTTGAAACTTAAGACTGTAGACTTTAGGGACATTCGTATCCTAGCATGATTTCCTCAATCTTCACCTTAGTTCGATGCGTAAGCCCATTGTCATCCTTAAGCCTATTTCGAACTGCCTGTAGACCGATATTTATCGGTATATTCATATGAAGGCTAGTTATTTCAAAACTAACCGTTTTTTCTTTGTCATCTAATCTATGCTTTAATTCATGAGAGTTGGTGAGTCAAGATTTTGATATATAGAAAATCCTACTATCCTTGTCACAAAGAAGGAGACAGGATCAAGACTTTATAAACTTTGTCTCAAAGTTGCGGAGTTATCTGATTTTAATATGGACAATAAATTATGCCCGAAACGTTATGCAGTAAATGATACTGTTTTACTTTGTGACATTTCTAATAAACAGGCTAGAATGGAATTAAAATCTATCACAGTGCCCGTTTTACTCCCATATTAGGATTTGATGTTTTGAAGGCACTTGGACAATGGGTAAGTAACACACATTATTTTCTTATTTGCTCTTCATTGACTGATGAGTGTCAGTGAACTGAAATTCGCAAATACCAACTGATTCTCCTAGGAACTGGTAATATCAAACTTGTAATCTTAAAAAATTGTTTTTAATTTGACAGGATTAATAAGCTATAACCAACTGGAAACTACAGTTCTAGTGAATCAGATATGAAACGACACATTTTTAGGTGATTATAGAACTGATAATGTGGACAGTGATGATGATTATTGCTTTGAAATAAACACAAGTATTCGCATTTAAAACTAATGTCAAACTTACTGTTAGTTAGCCACGCTTTTTCAGTTCATCTAGGCTGATTTCATGGATGAATAAAGATATTTTCAAAAGTCTTAATGTGTTTATTATTAACTGGATAATGTTTTGGACACAAGTTATCCTCCATAGGCATAACTAGGTAGTATTTGAACTTTGAGACATCGTTTAGATAGTTCTATTTTCCTTGGCCCTTTATGATATGACTAGTAAAAACATCCCCATTGCATGTAATTGGTACTTATTCAATGAAAAGAGATTCATTTATCAATTTTTCCCTTCACTTCAGTTAGTTGTTTCCTCATCTTGTTGTGTGACTGTGTGAAATCAGACGCATAATTTAAGATCAAAAGTTTCGTGCTTTTCCCATCTTATCAGGACTTATTAATTTTGATTTAGTCAACTTCTTGCCCTACAACAATCTAATTGAATATGGTCGGTCTGATTGGTCTGATTGAGATCTAAAGTAAGAGGAGAACTTGGCCATTGTGGTAGTTTATAATTCTATTCCAGTTTGTTTGTTGAATTAATCACATCTCTAACTTTGACCAATATGTCTGACCTTACAGTCAGTGCGAGTGATACGGTCAATTGAGTTCTTTTGCTTAAGTTTGTAGGATCTCTCCACTCAATGTAACCGTTGTGATTGTAAATGTTATTAACACCTGATTTGCCATTACTGCCTATATGTTATTAGTAATTTATTGGCAAATTTAAGTAGGTAATGATTAATGAGTAAGGTGTCTTCAATGTATCTGGTTTCTTGTCTTTGATCTTCTGTTTTACGAGTCACTTTCTTGACACTGTTTCTTGGCCTAGTTTAACTGACATAGGGTGAAGTCTAAGTAACGATTTGAAGGTGAATATTTCATGCAGACACTAGTATCTATATTCCTGTTCTCCATTATCTAATTCATGAGTCAGCTGGATTGCATCGACTACTGAAGTTATACGTGTAAATATACCATCTATGTGCTACGATTTCGACACTATAAAAATGTCGTCTACATATTAGAACCATATTTTTGAAGTAGAATCAAATATTTCGACGACCATCTGTTCCCATCTACCCATAAGTGTGTCTTGCAAGATAGAAGGTATTGTTGGTCGCATGGCAAATCCTTGTGTTTGCTTAGATACTTTATTCTGGAACTTAAAGATTGTAGAAGTCAGGTATAACTGTTCTCACAGAATGATCTCTTGTACTGGTACCTTTATTCGTAGAGTAACCTTATGGTCATTATAGAGCTCATTTCTAACTTCGTTCAGAGCTATATCAATCTGTATAATGGTGTACAAAATGGTTACATGAAAACAAACTATTTTTCCACCGTCAACTAGGTGTATACTGTCCAATCTATGCTTCAAGTCAGAGAAATTATTAAGTCTAGATTAAGGATAGTTT